TATTTAGTACTCTATCCATATTAAATAGCCTACAACCCTATATTTTAAAGAAATTTCTGTCATCAGAATTATCTACATTTAACCATGTTTCAGTTATTTTCATTGTATCAAGATCCTCCATTCTTATCAGTGCTTTAAAGTAATCTATTATATTTCTTATACTTCTAGCAATACAATAGTAACAACTAAGCCTATCCTTATAATTACTTCTATACTTATTTCCTATGTTAAACTTTTTTTGCCTCTTATTCTTTTTTACATTTAGTTTAGTTTATCCTGGCCCTCACTATTGTATAGTCCTAGATTAAAACTTTCCTTACAGCTGAGTTAATAGCCCTAACAAACAAGCCAACCCTCTATCCTATTCAAATGCAAACCATCCATTCCAAAAAGCTCCCTTCTACCATTGAACTGATCTCTTAAATCCAAACAGCCAAAAGCCTAGTATTTAGCTGTGATGACCTACTTATAACTTCATCCCCACAGTTAATTCTGGGCAGTATCCCTGACAAAATTAAATTATGGCCTTTTTCTTTAAATGCCTTTATCAACCCCCTGGACTTCTTAATTAGCTCTGCTGACCTGCCTTTTCCTACATCATGAGCCCCAAACTGCATCTCTGCTAGCCCCTTTATTATATCCCCTGATCTGTCAGTAATATCTTCCACCTGTGTCCCTGTAAAGCATAATCTAATTCTTTTCTCCCTATTTACCCCTCAGATTATCCTATCCATATCTTATCAAGGAATCACCTATAACTATAATCTACGTAAGTTTATCATGCACATCCTTCTCTGTTCCTTTTGTTTTCCTTCCCTCCAATAGTTCCTTGTCTGCAGAAGCCAGTGGCTAAAATCTGTTGCTCAATAGAATAGGCTCATTACAATCAACTCCACTATTTTTAGCCCTAATAGTACTCTTTCTAACTTCCTGAAAGTCATTGTTAGCTGATGTATTCTTTGCATGAAAAGTTTAAGCTCTTCTTCAAATCCTGCTGCCATTTCCCACAATCTACCCTTCTCTTTATCTATTGCCTCTACTTTAATTAGGCTAGCCTTGAACTTCTCCTATAAACTCTACATACAAATTGCACATCTTTACTACTAGCTTCCTTAAAAGTACATGCTAGTCCCAAGTTCCCAAATAAGACCCACTCATTGCACCCATTACATCTAACAAACTGTGAATGTTTAATTCCTATACTAGTCTTAGCCATTGTATTTATACTAATAGCCTGGAAACAAATACTCGCTACCAAATATAGCTTATTGTCAACAGTGTTACTGTTAAGCTTAACATTTAACTTTAAAAACAATTATGTTAGTTTTTATCACTACTTTGTCTTCACACTAAAGTAATTAAGTTTATCTTTAATTATTCAGAACTTTATTAGAAGTGACAATAACTAGTCTTCACTTTGATGTATACATAATTTTAATAATACAATGTATTTAGCTTGATTTATATTACAACCTACTTATAACTGTAAGCTTAATTTAAACTAATGAATCTGAGTTCAAGTGAACAAGATAATCCTTAAAACATGAGGAGATAAATACAGTAAACTAGTCTTTAGATTGTATTTATTTAATAAAACAATGTATTAACCTGTTTTATGTTTTAATAGTAAGATGAATTATAGCTAAGCCTAATTTAACATTGCAGTACAAATTAACCCACTAAACTCATAAGTTAAAACTTTGGTTGTCTTACTTTTATATATCACTCTTACTAAATCTAGTTATTCTTTTGTAATTCAACCCAACTTACTACAAATGATATGTACATTAAATATACATAAATAAATGCAACAGAAATAGCACAGGAAACAAATTATTTACTATTAGACTATTTGCCTAAAATAGAGAATTAAACATTCCTATATTGAATATTCATAGAGAAAAAAATATGATTACAAGTTGGGGTAATATGAATTAGCTACATATCATTTTAAAATTGCCAGTCCTCAATTCAGCTTTCCTAACATATTAACCACAGAAAGTGGTAGCTTGGCATAATTCAAGTCAAACATCAGAACTACTACAAGGCTTAGGTCTTCTCTGCGTATTTGGATTAGGCAGTGTCAAATACCCAAAACAAATACAGCAGGAAATCTCTCTAACATATCCATTGGCTCAGTAAGTTTTATACCTTTCAAAAACAGGTCTATGTTCAAAAGGCATTACATGTTCCATCTCTTAAAGATGGTAGATGTTGGTCTTGCTGGGTCAGTCTGTTACAAACATTACATATACAGTATATGCAAGAGTTTATTACATTAAGACTTCTTAGTGACTCTGTATCAGCTAAAATATGATCATTTTTTTTATTCTATGTTAACTTGTTTCATGCACATCTAAGCAACAGGTCTTAGTAAGAAATACTGTTTTATGAAAAGAACACAAGCTACAGTGTACCTCTTAGATATTATGTAACAATGCTTACAGTTTCAATCCTTTGACACAGTGGCAGGGAACTTTTTTTCTCAAGAACAACCAGGGATGTAGGATGGCAAAAGCTATTAGATGTCAAATAGAAAATATTACTGGTAGTGTTTACAAATAAACATAAAACATGTAATGTCTTGCTTATATAGTTCATTTTTTTAATGATTATTATTGTTCTTATAAGATTTTTCTCAAAACGATATTAAATCAAAATAATATTTAATCTTACTGAAACAAGATACTGTTGTATAACAGTGCACAGTTGGAAAGAAAACTGATGTGAAAAAAATAAGATGGCAAAGATAGCAAATGGTTGAAGAAAAACGTTCACACAGTAGATGAAAATAAAGTATACAATGTAAAAAGATAAAGCAGATACAACAATACAAACAGTGAAAACATTCTTACAATTTCTTCTGTAAGCTGTCTTCCTCATTTCTCAAATTTGCAATACTTTTTTAAAAGGAAGTTGCTTCTTTCCTCTTCATGGTTTTGGAAGGTAGTTGAATGATTTTCTTTGGTGTGGTAATAGCTGGACACAACACAAATATTATTAAAAAAATATGAACATCATCTTAGCAACACACTGAGAGAATCCTTTTCAAAATAATATACAATACCAAAACCTTTAATTTAATTCCCAATAGGCTTGGTGCATTTTTCATTAAGATGTAAAAATAAACTATACCTGCTTCATAATTTTTATTGCTTGGTACTATATGTATGCAACATTCACTCAGTTAGGTGGTTTTGGTTATCAGTGTCGTGGATTTCAGAATTATTTTCATCTTGCCCTTTATGAGTTGAGTGTATTTTTGTAACAAATACAACAACAAGTAAAAGTATTTGAGTATAGTGTTTTAAAGACAGGAATCTGTAATTATATTACCTTTGAAATTAGATTTGTTGAGGAAAAAAATTCCCGTTTATGAAAAAGTAGTTTAATACATATAAGTGAAACTATAACAAATGTGTTAATTGCTGACTGATTCATGTGAAGAAAGCTATTATAGGATTCCTTCTTTTTATGGAATGAAGGGGCTCATTCATATTGTCTTTGTGATCATCTTTAAGTTTTGGTCTTCACCCTCAGGAAACTGCCAACAAAGCTTGAACTTAAACAAGAGGGAATCCTCAATAGCCACAGCACTTGAAATTCTTTTAGGCAGGATTAGAATAAATTAATCTGTGAGACCTTTTTTAATTTTTATTAGCTGTATTTTTATGTGTCGGTAATACCAAGTGTGGGGAGCTTGTATACCCGATCGAATTTTATTACTTATCAGGATCTCTACCAGTCTACCCTCAAATTGAAAATCTTTTAGGCAGGATTAGAGTAAATTAATGTATGAGACCTTGGGCATGGTTGTATATATATACCAATAAAAAATTTTAATTTTTTTTTGTACTGTAAAATGGGACTGTGGAAAGACATGTTTGTATTGCTGTGGTTGGGTACATGCAAAGGTACTTGCACTTTCAGATGCATAGACAAAATTTATATATATTTAACAGTATTTTTTATATGATAACAAATTTTCAGTCTCTATTAATCCCTTCATTGGCAGGAAAAATAAAGTAACAAATAAAATCTAAAAAAGTATGTATAATTAACCCCCAATCATGTGAAAGAACCACCCATATCTTCTTCAGTGTTTAGCTGAATGTGTACAGAATCATCAAAATCTGCCACTTCACTGCTGAAAGCTTGTTGGCTAGATGCACACTAAAACATTTATGAAGATTTAATTTTTAACTTTCAAACTGTTCAAGTAAATAGTGTTCTGTCTGGTAATTTTCTGTAAAAATCTTAAACTAGCACCTTGGGGAACATTATTGTTAATAATGAGATATATACATATATAAATATGTTTTAAATAATGGTGGTGTCAAATCCTTGTTTTTTTTGGCAGTGTATCGTATGGGGTGGTAGGCAGATTTACACAAGCTATAAACGAAGGGTTAATAGTCACTGCCACACCTTCATTCATTTTCGATGTTCTACAACTAACATATTGCGCGTAAGAAAATAATTACAGTTTTCAGATTATCTTGAAAGCGATTTAGACATATATACACACAAACACAAATTTACAAACTAACATATGACGACAGTTGATTTCTATACTTCTTCATACCATTTTATAACTATTATACATTTTCAACTATCTCAATACAGTCACCTGAAAATAGACAATTAGGCCTAAGGTTTTAATGTGTTTCGTATACGAAGAACGAGTTTACACTCTAGGGAAATAAAATACACATAATTAGTAGATGTCCCCAAAACATTTTCTGTCAAATTAGTATCTTTATTCTAATAGTACTTCTTTAAATACAGGATTTCTAGAATAATACAAAAGATTTCTAATCACAGACATCGAAATCTGTATGTCTACTTGTCTTGGCTTAGTTAAGCTTTCATCAAGTACGGCCTTGATTTGGTAGAGATAAATTAACACTGTAACTAGTATACGTTGTTTTGCTTTAGTTTAATTAAGGCTAAACTTTATCGTACTCAATACTATCAGTAAATAGACTTATAATGTTATTCTACGACCTAACTTTGCACCTTTATAAAACTTTGATAAGTTTTTAATATCTTGTCGTATAAAATGTCTACTGAAGTACATTTCCATCCGTCTTTTGTTTACATTCGTTGAAATGAAGTGCGCACATATGTGAATTTAGATAGTAAGGTGTGCGCTCATTTTCAGGACAGACAAAATCTGAGTATTGCTATAATAGATTTCCGTTATTGATGTAGCGGACCCGACGCTTTGTTAATACTTTAAGGGAGAGTCAAAAAAGAATTGATACCATTATGGAGGGAAAAATACAAATAAGTGAAATAGCGACAAACGAAGACTGTTGATTTTTACTCGACTTGATACCATAATTTTAGAAATGAACTATTTTATAACGTCGCTTTATCAAGAGTTCGATCAAGAAAAAAATCTCAAGATCTTGGTCAAAGATGGCGATTACCCAGAAAGACAAGATGGTTATACCATAAATGTTGTGTACAGAGATATATTTCGTTTATAGTCATTCTATGTTTTTACAATTATTTACTTTAAATCTAAATATAATATACTCCATATTCTGCTTAGTAGGCTTTTGTTTCATAATACAACAACAGCACGATTTAAAAGATTTATTTATTTAAAACTTAACCCTTTTCATCTTTGGTTCATGTGGCACAGAAAACACTTCGTACGCGGGAGGTGGAGAATTTAATCACGTTTGTATTGTTACGTCTCTGGTCGATAGTTAATTTTCCGTAAAAATTCTTTCCGAAGAAACTTTGGCGATACAAGTCCTTTCTCAAATGAAACTGGTTTATTCTTTCTGAATACAACTTTGCAATACACTTAATTTCCACAGTCGCGCTATAACAAACGCTATAATTCACAACGAACGCCTCACGTGCTCGACTCAACAATATGTCTCCCTCTTTCCGCAGTTCAATTACATTACATTGTTGCCGTTAGTTCTTACCGGTTTATATATATATAAGACTACTGCATATCTAGTAGGCTCTCGAGATTTCAGGAAGGGACGTGAACGTTCGAGAAACGCATGACGTGTTACTAGAGTCACGTGACCTCCGCTGTCGTAACACTGCCCCTTCCTTAGTATTGTTCGTCCCGAACAATAGCCACTTACATTAAACCAATAAACAATTAACAATAACTTAATTAAATGTACAGAATTTACAAACACAAAATTAAAATTCAACAAAGTCTCTTAATTTTACGGGACGTATCTTCTTCCATACTGGTCTCCGTCTCGTTGGCGTCTGCTTCATCGGGAAACGTCCTATCAGTGGTAGTAACTTCATCAAGGGCTTCACTGTTTCCCTTCTCAAAACCGAATAGAATTTCTTCTTGGACAGTGGCTTTTTCAGGTGACGTGTCTTCAGCAGTGTCATTTGTTCCGTTGTTCACTT